GTTCTTTATTTACAACTGTTTTGTATTTTATGCGATTTTATAACTCTTTCGAATTCTTCTGTTCCTTTTGAAAATTTGTTCCCAACCAATATAAAAATCAAGTACGAAAGTCATTGTATTAATGGAAAATTATATAAGTATTTCCAGCACTCAATTGCTTTCTAAGTGATAAAAATATAGAGGTTTTTTTACCTCCAAAGTTTTATTGATAAAGAATTTTTACATAATAATGAAAAGTTTAAAGTTATATACAAGATTAACGAATACCTAAATCTTAGCCTCTTCACATTTTCAAAAGCATGCATAGCCATTCAAATTTTTGGAACAGTTATTGATTCAATTTTTATTGACGTCCTTTTCCTTCAAAGTTCCGGCTTTGAAAGTACCCACAGTTTATTTTTCTGTAATCTTGCACCTAACTGCAATGCTATTACGTTGTTTATTTAGAACAATAATTAGCGTTACAAAAATTTTGATGCTGATAAGATGAACTCTTACAGTGCTCTTCTGAATTGCTACAGATCTTATAGAAGTGGTTATTATCCGCATACCACTGTAAGCCTACTAACGGATATTATTATGGCTACACCTTTGTTTCGGGGAAACGGCTATTGAGGTGGGAAAGAGAAAAAATTTAATATGTTCTCAAAGTACTGGGATTTATGTATTCCCTAACCGGTTAAAGTGTAGAGTTTAACTTACCCTTTTGGCATCATCTCATTGATTGGCTAGGGGCATTTTGAGATGAATGTTTAGAAGGCTGCCTTCTACTATTCTCAAACGTCGGTTTTTCGCGAAAAGGTTATAACGATTGATCGAAACATTTTTAATGGTTTTTTCTCTTCTGATTGTAATTTTTTGTTTTATACGGTTATTTTTGAGGTGGTATTAAGAGAATTTTCTTTTGAATTAGGGTACTAATTTCCATTTCCTCCCTTGTCTGTTTCGGAGTGCTCTGTGTTCAATTCGAAGAAACCTGTAATTACCGATTCTTCCTCAAGATACAATTAAAGATCTACCTCTTAAAAAAAAGTGAAATATCGCAAACCTTAATTAAAATAGTGCCTTATAATAAAAGAATTAGCCCCCCTTTAGAGATTAACTTGAGAAAGATTTTATCCATGGAATATTTGGTAAAAATGGAGGCTTTGGGCATTATTGTAGATGAGTACATTCGAACATAAATAGAAATCTTAAGAGTTAATATTTCTACTTTAAAGTTAACTCCTTTTCAGCAAAGCGAGTGCAACTAATGATGGTTTTTTCAAAAGTTATATATGTCCAACTTTCTTTTCCTTAGTTAATAAATCATATTTAAAACTTCCCTTTAGGTCTATGACTAAAATCGTTAATAGACGATTTGAACTCACTAATGAAGAATTTTACAAATGTTTAGAGATCATTTTTAAAAGGTCATACACCAACCTTTTAAAACTGTTCCAGGAAATAAAAATTTTAAAGGTATTTATCTAATTCAGTTGTATACACAAAAAGAGCTACTATCTATGAAGAAAGAGAAAAATTGTGTAAAGTAGTCAAGATGCTTGAGGTGCGGCCTAAAAAGCTAGTTCAAGCTAAATGGGATTTTGAAGAAATGGTGCGTTTGATGCTTGATCTCTAAGCATAAAGGAAAATTTAATGTATTTCAAGCTACTGCCAATGATTTTAGCTACAACTATTTTTTTTTGCCGATCCAATATCAGTTTAAAAGCTGCTGGCAAGAGATAGAAGCTACTAGTTGTCGAAAAAATAAATTATTGGATCGCATTAAAGTTTTTGACCCTAATGGATTCTTATTGATGCCAGAAAAACGTATATAAATAAATTTTGTTTGGCTCTTGATGGTAATGCCCTCACGCATATTGAGCTTGTAAAGATTGATTTACAGCTCCAGCAGAGGTAACGAACAGAAGTTTGCCGAAACGCTTCACTCAAATAAATATGCGTAATGGATTTACCTCAATCTAGCAGCAGCTGGAAAGGGACGAATTTACCCCATGATGCCTTGAGGAAACATGCCAATGAGGTGAGCCAACCCTATGTCCTATGTGGCGCGACTGGACCAAGACCAAAGGTCTGCAAGATTGCGTCAGATGAGGAACCTTTATATATTTGAGAATTATTAATATGCTGATAAACCTGTTGATGTTAAAAGTCCGATATCTGAGGCTTAAGGTATCCCCAATGTTGCAGTGCCGATTGTAGGAAGTGGACGACCCCCCTTTAGATTTTGTTGATATCTCAATGGAAAGGGTTGATAACATTACCGTGGATAAACAAAATGGAACGGTTTAACACGGCACAGAAGGTTATGAGGACATATAAAGTAGATTAGTGTAAGTTTTTGGGAATAAATTTTGATATGGGTCCTATTGGCAATCTATTTAGGCTACATAAAAAAATAGAGAAGAATACAAAAGTGCTGATTCTTTTACTTTAGGAAACTTTTAAATTTATTTTTTGTTTCCCGTCGCAAGCCCCCTGTAGATTCGTACGAGAAGTTTTAAGATTTTTTAGTGGATTTTGACCTTTTAAAGAGAGTTCTTGATAACATATTAAAAAGTAATATTTTGTGGGAGATCCATAAATCTTTTAAATTTTTTTTTTTTCATGTTGATAACTTTGTTTATTTTTGGTCTGATTAAAGTTGAACTATGTTTTAGGGCCCATTCGTTTACATTTTTTACTTAAATAAATGTGATTTCTACCTTTTATTTATTACAATCTATGTTATCAGATATATATTTCATGTATACTTCAAACTATAAAACTTTTAGGTAGATTTTGCAACTAAGGGAACCGTTTTACATACTTTTGTTGGTATATCTATTAGTAGTAGTACAAATAATTTACTTATTGACTACATTACATTTTTTTAATTACTTTTCTTTTTAGCACTTCAAGTGTACGTGCTATTTAGTATCTTTATTCTTTGCCATTATTATACTACCGTCAAGGCTTATATTTATCTGTTTTACAAGATCTTTTAGAGCTATATGGTTTGTCGTACAAGTCCCATATTTCGCAGGTGTACTAAAAGCAAAAACAACTGACGTTACCTTTCAAATTTTTAATAATTGTTAAAATTTAGTATTGTTTACGTATTTATGATTCTAAAAAATGTTGTTTTTTAAAACATCTAACTTATAAGCTCAAATTATTTAGTAAAACAAAATATTATTTTGAATGGACTTAAGCTGAACCTTCGAGGAGGTCAATTACAACTATATGTATTAGTGCAGCTTACAATATACAATTGTTTCGTAAAGTGTTATATACACCAGAAGTACTAAGAAGTTGAAGTTCCCTTTCAAATCTAAAAAGTTCACTGAGGTTACAGTAATGATACAAGATTAAATAATTTACCTAATGCTAAATTAAACTTTAAAAAAATTATAAAAAAAAGATATAAAAAACTAAATTTTTTATATATAAAAATAAGATACATAACAGAAGTTCAGCTTTTTATTTTTAATATTAGCTTTATTGGGTAACATTGATGTTTATATTACTTTCAGTAGAATTGTAAAAATAATTTAAAATCTTATAGTATATGAATAGATTTATAGACTTTCGCTAACTATAAAAATATTTTATTGATAATGAGACCTGCCTCAATAACTTTATTTGCAGAGGTGGACTAACAAGCCATGGAATGTGTTCGTGATGACATTTTTTGTAAAACATTCAAACCCTCAAATAATATCCTACCAGAGCCAACCCGAACCAAGGGAGACCAGGAAAAAACCCCTGTTGTTTAGTAAAATAGAAAAAATAAGCTGCTTTCAAAGAGCATCGAATTCGCAATAAAATAAGTATGCACTGTAAAATTTTGTTTGACCTCTTTCATAACTTCACACCTTTTAAAAGTAGGGTTGCAAATAAACGTTCCTTTGAACTTTTAATAAAAATAATTTCCCCAAGTAGTATGCGATATTAGGTTTTGTTAAATGCTATATTGGGAAATTATTTGAATAATTATTCAATTATATTCAACCGAATTGTACTAAGTAAATTCGTATAAGCAATGGGGATATTTAATAAATAATTTAAGAAATCTATAAATTCGTGGGTAATCAAAAGTAACTTTTTACCGTAAAAGAAAGTTTTAAACTTTTAACTTAAATTCATGTTTAGCTTAAACTAAAAACAACACATAACCTCTAATTGGTTGAAGCTGTGGCTATCTAAGTAATTAATGTGGGCTAATCATAAGTTAGTAATATTTTAAAAAATGGTATAAAAGCATACGTAATACTTTTCATGGAAGATTATAATTGTTTTACCTTATTACATATTGTTCGCAACCATGTTATCTTGGTTGATTCCACGCTATTTCGCACTTTTTTTCTCAGAGGTCGCCCATTTACACTGTCAAGAAACGATCGTCAACGCCGGCACTTGGTAAGTACACTTTGAGTGCTTTACACAAATTATTTGAAGGTAGGCTATTGTTTTTGTTGCGTGATAATTAAGGCTCAAAATAATTTAAAATAATTTGTTGGTAAATTTTTTTAAATTTATAAAGCTTTTTCCAACAAAGCGGATGAGATTAAACACTATTAATTGCAAAGAAATTGACCCATTTCTACATAAAGAGACCCTATTTTACAAATATTTATGTAATTTTTTAACTATGTCGGATATTGAAAAGGGACCGTTCAAGGTGCGACTTAACGACTTTTTCAAGCGAGGAAGCGCCCGTTCATGTGACAAGTGTGTAAGTTACTATTTGACATAAACGTTATTTTAATTTTGTCCAGGCTGCGGTGGGGCTCTTGATAGTAGTTGTAGAGTTTTTTAACTGTAGCTTAAAATTAATAATAACTTAGAAATTGATATTTTAAATATATTGGGTCAGTTGTTTCTTTGGTTTTTCAAGTTGGAGAGCTTTACATCATTGCAATTTTCTGTGAATATATGAGTTTTGATAAAGTTATACTAATATACATCGTAATCTAATTCCTAATAAATTTTTTAAAAGGAATTTAAATGAAAACAAACTAACTATCATCAAAAAAGAATACTTCCAAAGTCTCAAGATTTTGACTAATTTGTAAGTAAACAATTGCCCAATCTCTACAAAACCAATTAACAACAAGTGAAAGTATAGTTTTAGTAAGATAAATTGGTAACAGTAAAATTACTTACCTTACCTTAGAAATGCTTTCTGTATCCACATTAACTTATTACTTTTTTTAATTCAGGAAACTTAGCAATAATCTCATACTTTCAATAGAGGATGGTTCCTTTGCCGAACTAAGCGCACTGACAAAATTGTTGACTTTTATGACTAAATTTATTACCTAATTTTATTACTGATTGCTTTGTGTTGTAAAAAATAAAAGAAGATTAGATGATAATCGACTCACTTCTATTGGAAATGCAATGTTTTCGTCCCTGAAAAACCTAATTTATCTGTAAGTTTGGTTAAACTCTAGAAAACTAGTGGTAGAATGGATAACAAAAGGAATTTATTTCTTGTAAAAACTTTAGTTTACTAATAATTGGATTCATTTGTAAGTCGAGAACTGTCAAAACCGTACTCAACCATTTAACCACAAATAAAAGTATACTTTTAGTGAAAAGTGTAAAAGTATCTATTTACCTTTTCTCTTTGCTTTATGAATGATTTACCGATATTCACTTTCACTTATTACACTTTTTAATTCAGGGGTCTTAGAAATAATCACATCTCATCAATAGAGGATGGTTCCTTTTCTTACCTAAGCGCATTGACAGAATTGTTAACCTTTATAACTAATTTTTTTTTTATTTGTTGACCGATAGCCCTTGTGTTGTGCAAAATTCGTTGTTTTTTATTATTTTCTTTCCTATCTCTAATTATAATCTATTATCTCTAAGATCAATCACTCTTGATGAAAATTTTCTATGCTGCTCTCGTCTTTATTATGAGAATTTAAATTATAAAAGTGAACGTTGCACTTATGAGGGGGAAATCAAAGAATACAACACTTTTGAGAAAAACAAATGTGTTGCTTTGAAGCCTACGAGTTCTACTGCTCAAAGCACTCAAGCCACTAAGCCTATAATTTCACCTCCTCTTTCACTAACCAGGGCAGCGGCAGCATATAGAATTTCTAATTGTTATGTATTGCTAGCGCTAAGCTTAGTCCTTGCCTGGTTTTCTTAAGCATACATAATAAATTAGGTATTTACACAAAGACGTTTTTTGCCTAGTTTTTTTGTTCCCTTAAGTCTTATAAAACTCAGTGTTTCTCAGGATATATAAATTTGCGAATGATGACTACGAACTTCGGTATAAAAGAAAGAGAGCCCGTTTTATTGTCCCTTAATGAAAGGTAGTCTTCATTATTTTTAAAGGCTTTGGCGGGTAGCCAGTAACTTAAGAACAGACTATTGAAAAAAGAATAACTTGACGCTAACATCGAATTTGCACTATGGAAACAAAAATAAATAACCTATCATAGATTCTTATAATTAAAGTTTAAGTTACAATCTCCAAAAATTGTCTACTAAAATATTATTATGTATTAATCATAATAGTTAAAATTTTGAACTGCATTTTTTACTTAGTTTATAAATATTACAAATATTAATTCCTATATTATTAACTCCAACTTTGGGACAAAAATTAATTTAAAAAGTGAAATTAAAAATGGGTAATCATTTATCTAAATGTAAAGAACTGTTAGGTAAACAGTTAAAAAACCAAGAAAAAAATTGCAGAGTTGGGTCTCTTTTGCCTTATTGAATTTTCATCTTATTCTTGTCCTCGTAAATGATGCATGTCATTTCCAACACATTTTTTGTGATATATCTAAATTGCTTAATCTTTTAAGAGAAGAGCACAAGCTATGCTGATTATTGGTGGTGATAGGTCCCAAGCTCAAAACGACGCGCAGAGTTATCTTAATTTTATAAAGCATTTTACTTTATTGAGGTAGTTCATTGGTCCAAATATAATACAGATATGAAGTAAAAAGGAAAAAGAGGTAGCGCCATTGAAAATGCCATGCAACAGGCATAAATAATTAATTTTATCAGGATTTCTTTTAAAATGGATAGTTTAGGTTTTAGAAAATGTGGACACATTTTTGTGTTAACAATAACCCTGCAGGCTATCAGTATAAATTTTAATAGTAAAAAAGAAATTCTGTATAAAGTTAAAAAATAAAAAAACAAGACACAAATTGTCAACTATATGATTTTCTTGCAGCATACAATTTAGTTGACACCTAATTTAGTTGATACATTTTAATTAATCTCATGTGTTTAATCTATTAATTTTTTGTATATATATTATATTTTACGATTAATAAAGTAGAGGCGATACGTATGCCAGTTCTGCAAAGTGTTAAGGCAGTGGAATTTCCCTAGGTATAGCCGATCAGGTACTCGTTTCTGTAATCGCTGTCTACAAACCCCCTTGGAAGCTACTCCCGCCCTCCGATTTGGACACCATCCTTGGGATTACCTCTTCTGCTGTTTAGTGCGGGGGTCTTAATCGCCAAATCTGCATGGAACAGCCCAGCCGATAACACGAATAGGCACACCCTTGAGGCCCACGCTATTGAGCACGCTGTGCGTGCTAGGTCCCCAGCAACCAACACACTTGGCGACTACAGGCACAATGGACATACAGGATATTGCCATACTTAAAGATATACGTCTCTCTATGGGGATTGAAGCGCTCACGAGCTGTCCTCCGAGCACTTCCCAGTTATTCTCGATTTAGGGGACGAGAAGAGCACATCAAAGACCATTACCCGTATTTTTTAGCGACTGGGGCAAATATGCTGAGGTAACAGAAATTACACTGCCGCTGTGCAGTCATTACCGGCACACCCGCCCTACATGAAAATGATTTTGCCCTTTTCGAAACCGCACTAAACATGACTCACACTACCGCCCCGACAACTCGTGAAGTAAGGTACCGCCCTGATCGCCTGCCCGGAGTACTAAAGACACTTATCCACCAACCTCGACGTCTTATTCGAGTAGCCATATTGTCGCAGGGCGCCCTCAAACCTGCACTTAATCGACTTCACAGGTACATTAGAAAAAAGCTAATGGCCCATTTTAACAATAAATGTAGAGCAAACCTACATCGTATTTAGAATCAGGCAGCAGCAGCCGTTCCTTCTTTTGGAAATTTGTTAAAAGGTTAAAAAATCGGTGACTTGCACCACTACCGCCCCTTTGTGAAGGAAATATAGTGGCCGAGAGTGATGGAGATATAGCTATGCTTCTTGCCTATGTTCTTGCTATTTAAAACGTGCCAGCTGCTCACTATACTGCTAATGATGATGCGTTCCTTTCTCTCAACCGAGCTTACCTCTCCCCGTTAATTAGGAACTACTTAAGCTAGTTAATGTTAACGAGGTGCAAGCAATTGTCGAAGAGCTACCTAAACGAACAGAGCTTTGCCCCGATGACATCACTAATGAGATACTGAAGAAATGCCGTTAATAGGGATGACCTATCTTTACCTCCATATAACATCTTCGACATTCTCCTTGGCGCCTTTCCAATTCGATGGAAGACGGCGAACGTTGTGAGGCTACCAAAAACACTTACACCAGAATCGTCAACTAGCAAGTACAGACCCTTCAGTTTACTGTCAGCGGTCGGCAAAGTGAATGAGGCCGTTTTATTGCGCGGTCTTAAAGAAGTCGTTGACTCTTGAAAAGCTTTTCCAGAGTTTCATTTTGGATTTCGGCAAGGGCACTCAACGAACCAGCAGCTCCTCCGCTTAACTGAATGGACCACTCGCGCTTTAACCATAATAAGTTAACAGGCGCTTTCTTTCTTGACGTTGAGAAGGCAATTGATCATGTTTGGTATGAAAGTCTGCTGCGCAAACTGCTCTCGTTATCCGTCCCTCATGGCCTTCGTAAGGTGCTGAAATCATATCTGAATGTTTGCGTCTTCAGCTTGCTCGTGGTAGATATCCGGTTTCCGCTTTGATCTCTGACAGCAGAGGCCCCTCAGGGATCACTTCTCCCTCCCCTTTTATATGCAATTGCGCCTTGGTTTTTGCGAAATGCTTTTCACCAGGACCTGGGACCTTGCTGGGCCCCTAAAACATTGTCTTCCAACGTAATGTCATGCCGTGGTCCTTTACGAGTCTTAGGACGGGGCACGTTTACCGTAAGCGCTAGTTAGTGTATGTTATTGTCTTGAAAATAATGACACTTTATCGATCGAAAGTTATTATGTAACATATCTGCGGTCACTCCTGGTTTGAGAGCTCGAGTATTCGAAGTTTTTGGACTCCATCGAGCCCCAGGCGCTAAAACATCACCAGAAGAAGTAGTTACTACGACGAAACCCGGGGGTTATTAAAGACAGTCCAGCGAGTTTCCATATTAAAATGTGTTAAGCAATTTATATTGCGGAACTTTTAGAAAGGTCTATTTAAGTGTTAGGCAATTGCAATACGAAGTTATAAATTCAGTTACCTAAAGCTTATTATACTAATATCTAGGTACGTTATTAAGCAGAAAATAATTTAAATTGATATGACGGATTTTAATTTACTGTAGAGTCGATTACTACAAACGTTCTGTTACAGCCAAATTAATTCAGTGAGCAGTGTCATAACATAATTCACAACCATATTGCATAAAAAACGTAATACAAAAAGGTTTGAGGTAATATAGGGCTTGGCGATATTTCTACTGTAAATTAATGTCGTAAATAATATATATAATAAAAAGCTCGTAAACATTTTCTAAAGATGGATGAAACGTCGTCATATCAAAAAAGGGCATAAATCGAGAAATTAAAAAGAGGGAAATTAGTACGTTACACTAAAATAATTTTAATCTTTACATTGCAGTAGGGCGCAATGAAATAGTCTCATAAGAATAAAAGTTAAAAGTCAAGATTAAGCTTGCGGTGATAACCTAAACTATTTTTATAAAGTGCTTAAGGAAATAAAATAATTACGGTGAAATGAGCTATTTAACAACGATTAATGAAGCAAAAAACAGAATAAAACACCAATTTTGGATAGGTGGCGTCCACTTTTTGCCGTTTTTTATAAAAAAAATATAACTTTAACTTCTGGGTGCGCTCACTATATGCAAAGATAACGAAGTATAGGGAGTCACAAAGTTTTTACAACATATAGAAGCTTGGTTTGTAGAGTTCATTAGATTAGTATGGTCCTAGCGGGAAAGAAGATACAGAAAATAATATTTTATTATGAAGGGGCCTGTATAAACATATAATCCCAAAAGTTTTCTAAAGATGGTAATAACTTTACTTTTTAAGGTATATATCCATCTACTAACTGTTTAAAAAAAATTGTTTAAGATTGTATCCAAATAATGGGTGCCGCTAATTCTGGTCTAAAAAAGGATTAAAATTAGTTTATGTTGTATATTACAAGCACTTGGGATTTGGAAATAAAATAAATCTTAAAACAGGATCCGTATTGCAACTTAAATAGTAAGCAGAGGGCATAATAATCAATATATTTGAGATTTATTTTGTAGAGGTAGGCAAAATAGAAATTGTCATAATGTATAACTTCTTATTAGGTCGCCACCTCATAGCTCCTAACAACTTTATAACTTATTAAAACAGAAGAGTAGGTTTTTCAGAAACCGCAACTCTTTTAGAGGATCGCACAGAAACTACGTGCCTAAAAACGATATATTTAAGGAAGATAGTAACATTTTTTTAAAGTACTGGACAACATATTGCTCCTTGAGCATCCTACAAATGTTACTGGAGTGGTAAGCTGAAATTGAAATATCTATTTTAAATTTAAGGAGCGAAGTAAAGGAACAGGGCCGTAATTTATAACTAAAGTCGACTATAACAACGATAGTAAGATAGGTGGTGTATTACGTAGTATACACTGGGCAAAGAGAAAACCAGCAAATGTTACGGGATAATAATAATTCTTCCGTTGCTTTAGCCATGTGCTTATCACCATCTTTAAAATTCCAGCATTTTACTCGCAATTTGAAAAGAACAAGTGAGGAAAAAAGGCAATTTATACAAAAGCTTTAACATCTTGTAGGTTAACTTGAACCACCCCTCTTCACCTTAATTTTAATTAACTTTTGCTACCCGATTTATGTATAGCGTTTAATGGGAAGTTAACATATCTTGGATTTTCCCAGCATGCTGGAAAGTGGGCGCCCTCCTATGGGG